AGGTGGTGGAGAGTGCCCTGGGTGGATTAGCTGGGTTAGAGGGTGCACTGCTGGCAGTAATTGGGGTGGCGAAGGCAGAATGAGTGGAGGAAGACACCATAGAAGGAGCATTTGCATTGGTGGAGGGAGTACTGGTGGTGTACCCCTCTGCTGCCACAGCGATGCGTTCCAGGCAGGACAGGAAGGGGAGTAAGCGTCTGACCAGGCTGGTTTGGCTGGTGACCATGCGTCTTACCGTCATTAACATGACACTGAAGCGGAGAAGGCTGCAGTGGCTGTGGCCTCCTCCTACTCCACGGGCCCGGCGAGTCCTGCCCTGCCTGGGAGGTCTCTCTGACCTGAGGGCTGGGAGAAGCAGCACCTGTCGCCTCCTGGTTGGCCTGAGAACACACCTGAAGAAGCAAGAGGGGGGGGCTGTTTTTTAATCATACTGTGTTCCTTAGTTCAGTAGGCTACTTGGGCACAATGTTGTGGAACTTATATGGACAGTTTATTAGGTACACCCATCTTGTCCTGGGTCAGACCCCCTTTACCTACAGAACAGCCTGAATTATTCGGGGCATGGAAACGTTGCTCATTTGGTATCAAGGGACCTAATGTGTGCCAGAAAAACATTCCCCACACCATTACACCACCAGCCTGTCCCATTGACACCAGGCAGGAGTGGGACTCATGCTGCTTACGCCAAACCCTGACTTCGTCGGACCAGGCAATGTTTTTCCACTCCACTGTTGTCCAGTGTTGGTGATCGCTTCACTGTAGCCACTTCTTCTTGTTTTTAGCTGATAGGAGTGGAACCCAGTGTGGTCGTCTGCTGCAATAGCCCAGCCGTGACAAGGACCGACAAGTCGTGCATTCCGAGATGCCGTTCTGCACACAACTGTTGTACTGCGAGGTTATTTGCCTGTTTGTGGCCCACCTCTTAGTTTGCACAATTCTTGCCATTCTCCTTCGACCTCTCATCAACGAGCTGTTTTCACCCACTGGACTGCCGCTGACTGGATGTTTTTTGTTGGTCGCACCATTCTCTGTTAACCCTAGACCAGAGGTATTCGGCTCTTACCCTACGAGGTCTGGAGCCTGCTGGTTTTCTGTTCTACCTGATAATTAATTGCACCCACCTGGTGTCCCAGGTCTAAATCAGTTCCTGACTAGAGGGCAACAATGCAGTGGAACTGGCTTCGAGGTCCAGAGTTGAGTTTGAGGGCCCTAGACACTGTCGAGTGAAAATTCCAAGAGGCCAGCAGTTTCTGAGATACTGAAACCAGCACGCCTGGCACCGACGATCATGCCATGCTCAAAGTCGCTTAGGTCACTAGTTTTTCCCCATTCTAACTTTCAATAGTACAGTAACTGAATGCCTGTCTGCCTGCTTTATATAGCAAGCCAAGGCCACTTTCTGTAGGAGCTAACCATTTTAGTGGATGTACCTAATAAACTGGCCACTGAGTGTATATAGTGTAGAACAGACATGCCTCTCTGACATGTTAAGTAAGTCCTGTTCAGTGCCTGCATGGAATTTCTATCTGCAATACTGAGCTGGCCTGACAAGATTCCTTACTCTACTGTACATGGCAGAGGCATATCTGCCCGATCTATTTCTATCTGAATGTTGTCGTTGTGGATTGTGCCTTACTGATCACCGCCCAGGTGTTGACACTGCTTCAGGCCAATTGACAACATGTTAGCAAATTGGCTTTGTTTGAGCATGGAGAAAGCGACAACACCTTTCACGCTTTCTCTGTGCACAAACAATCGCCTAGAAAGGTGGTCGCTTTCTTCATGCACAAACAAAGCCAATCAAACCACCTTAGTTTAATGACAACAGAAATTGACCTGCACGTGCGAGGTTTAAAAGTTTCCCTCAAAATACTCACTCAAGGGCTGCGCTCAGTGGAATGAATGATGAGTAGATCGATTGTGAAGCTGTTTAGCTAGCTAAACTGCTATTTTAGAGATTAGTTGTCGGTAGCTAAACTGTCATTGCAGTTAGTGAATTGAACTTAATTAATTTGGCTACATCTCATTACTTTCGAATCTCTAAACCAGGGGTGTCAAACTCATTTTAGCTCAGGGGCCACATGGAGGAAAATCTATTCCCAAGTGGGCCGGACCGGTAAAATCATGGTATATATAACTTAAAAACAACAACTTCAGATTGTTTTCTTTGTTTTAATACTATCAACATAAAACATAAAGCTGGAGCCTGAGGACAGTGTGTCCAAAATAGTACAAGCACAACATCACTATTAATCATAAAACACCTCAAGTTTATTTGAAAATTCTAAAGAAAAAGAACACACAAACACACAATGCCTCAGTGATTCACAGAACTGTTTCACAGATCACAGAACTATATCAGGGTGTCATTTCTCAGGCAGAAATGTAGATACAAATAATGAAATCCTGTTCCCCAAACAAGTGCAAGAACCACAGAGTCAAGAATAGGTTAAATATACAAATAAAAAAAAATCAATTAAAAACAATAGCACATCAACATAAAAACATATAAACATAAAGCTGGAGCCTGAGGACAGTGTGTCCAAAAGCACAACATCACTATTAATCATAAAACACCTCAAGTTATTTGAAATTCTGAGGACAAACAACACACAAACACACAATGCCTCAGTGATTCACAGAAGTATATCACAGATCACAGAACTATATCAGGGTGTCTCATGCAGCACTTTAAGTGGGGTTGCATAGTTTATTTGACTCCTGATACCTGGCATCTTTTAGCTTTCACCAGCGCATCAATATCAGGCGTCACATCCTGAATGGCAGCCAACTTCAAGATGTGATTCAAGTGCTTGTGCGTGAGCCTTGAGCGCAGCTTTGTTTTATTTATGCTCATTACAGAGAACTTGCTCACAAAGATATGTGGTTCCAAACATGCACAACAGTTTTGCAGCGAGGGCTGTCAAGTTGGGGTAACCTGGCAAGAGATTCTGATAAAATGTGTCCAAGCCAGCTGCGGCAAATTTGCCCTTCAAATCCGAGTCACACTGCAAGTGTATTATTTCAAGTTGGATGCTGACGGGCAGATCAGAGGGATTCACGGTTAATGGCGAACAAAAAACGTTGAAGTCTTTCTCCAGTTCACCAAAAATCGGAAAGCGTTGCTCAAACTCCCTTAACAGTCCCGTTATTTTATCTTTGAACCGCTTCATGTCTGCCACATGTTGGGTCGCGCACACATTTTTCAGACAGGGGAAGTGAGCTGCATCACCACCGGCGAGTTGCGTCTCCCACAATGACAGCTTCAACTTCAAAGAACGTATGCTGTCATAATACTGCATGGCAACTTTGTTGCACCCTTGCAGCTGTTTGTTCAAGTTATTCAGGTGCTCTGTAACATCCACCATAAATGCAAGGTCCTGCATCCATTCTGCGGAATGAAATTCTAACACTGGTTTGCCCTTTTCTTCCATGAACTGTTCAATTTCTTCTCATAAATCAAAGAAACGCCTCAGCACAGCACCTCGGCTTAACCATCTTACCTCAGTGTGGTATGGCAGGCCATAGATGTGGTCTTTCTCTCTGAGAAGGCTGTCAAACTGACGTTGATTCAGGCTTCTGGATCGGATGAAATTAACAGTTTGGATGACCACCTTCATGACGTTATCCATCTTTAATGACTTGCAACACAAAGCCTCCTGGTGCAAAATACAGTGAAATGTCCAAAAATCACGTCCTCCATTTGCAGATTGCACTTTCTCTCTGAACTTTGTCACAACGCCTGCTTTTTTCCCGATCATTGAGGGCGCACCATCTGTAGCCAGGCTGACAGCGCGGGACCAGTCCACTCCGACCCTGTCCAGCGCGCTGACGAGTGCAGTGAAAATATCAGCTGCTGTCGTTGTATGTGTCATCGGCACCAACTCCACGAACTCCTCGGTGATGGTCAATGTGTCATCAACTCTGCGGATGAAAATGGCCAGTTGTGCAACATCTGTAATGTCCGTGCTTTCATCAATTGCAACCGAAAACGCAATAAATTACTTTACTTTTTGCTTCAACTGGCTGTCCAAATCCACTGAAAGATCGGAAATCCTGTCTGCAACTGTGTTTCTTGTCAGGCTGATATTTGCAAAAGCCTGGTGCTTTTCAGGGCACACAATCTCCGCTGCCTTCATCATGCATGTTTTTACAAATTCACCCTCACTAAATGGTTTTGAAGCCACTGCGATTTCATTAGCAATGAGGTAGCTAGCTTTCCCTGCAGCGCCACTGATGTCTCGGCTGTGAGTAAACACAGACTGCTGTTTCTTCAGACCCGCCAACAGTTCATTCACCTTCTCTCTTCTCCGCTGTCCTTGAAAGTTGTCATATTTGTCGGCATGAAGACTCACATAGTAGCGACGAAGGTTATATTCTTTCAGCACTGCAACATGCTGTGAACACACCAAACATACAGCTTTCCCATTCAATTCCGTGAATAAATAGAAGGATAACAATTTTTCTTGGAACACTCTGCGTCCACTTTTCTCTTTTTTGACAGAGACATATTGGGGCAATGAGGGTGCCAAAGCACATAATGTTAAAAGTAGAAGCCGTAATAAATATCGCGGGCACAACAAAGTAGCTCATCCGGACTGGCTGCACTTGCTTGACCTATTTGCTCTGCCCCGGTATAAACAGTTTGCTTGCTTAACACAATTGCTATTGCGCCATCCAGTGGACACAATTGGAACAGCAGTTTTTTTATTGAAAAATTGCAGCTCATTTTTATACTTTACAAAATCATCTCGCGGGCCGGATTAAACCCGTTTGCGGGCCTGATCCGGCCCGTGGGCCGGACGTTTGACACCCCTGCTCTAAACCATACAGCACTCAAATAATCGCCATCATATCTAAAACTTACGGGTTGCAATTGTTCTAGCTACGTTTTTTTAAATAGTTAGATTGACTGAAGGGACATGAACGGGTTAAAATTCCCATTCAAGAAGAACCACTAGACGCCCCTGTGTGAATATCGTGGGCTTGCGCAGTCTGGTCTAAACAGTACACACCCACAATTGTTGCTTTTTCTTCACAGAGCCATTTTTATTGTACAAAATGTTTGGAGAAACGTTTAAAAATTTCACTATAAATTTCAACGCCTTTAATCCGAGAGTGACTTTCTCGAGTGGTGACTTTATGGCAGGTCAGATTTCCTTTGATCTTTCGAAGGAAACAAAGCTCAGTTCTATAACATTGACATTAAATGGAAAAGCAAAGGTACAGTGGACAACACAAGGAGGCGGCGGAGGAAGAAGAGGACGACGCAGAAGGCAACGACGAGTCCACTCGGCAAGGCTGGAATTCTTCAACTTCTCTCAAATTGTAATGCAAGAAAATAACGGTATCTACGTTATTACTTAGCTAACGACACTGTTACTTATTTACAAAGATGCATCATAATCTGAATTCTGATACACCGGTGTATTTAAAAGGTGTGTGTGCGTCAGTGTATCTGTGTGTCACATTGGAGTTATAATCATAGCTAGCTAGCTAGCTAGCTGTTTTGTTGTGTTTAAATTAACTGTTTTGCTTTCCACCTTCAGCGGTCCCTAACACCACACTTCAACCAGGAACCCATGTGTACCCATTCACATGCCAAATCCCACAAGGGTGTGTATGAAGTCTATTACTGTATTTGTATGTTTTATTCAACGTTGTATACTCAAGGTCTGACCATTATTATTAAACTTGTTTCCATTCATTCAGAAACTTCCCCTCCTCTTTCCATGGGGTGCATGGCAGTATAATCTACTCGATGAAGGTGGAGATACACAGGCCATGGCATCTAGCCAAGGAGTATGAGACTGAGTTCAACTTTGCCAGCCACATAGATGCCAACCAACCACATCTTCTGGTAAGGGCATGTCCTCCCATTGTCTATCTAAACCTACCTGGGCACTACGCCAACCTTGAATGTCAATGAGCTAAATGTCATCCTCTTATAATTGCCTTATGTAGGTTATCCACCTAATTCTCTTTTGATATAGGCCTATGACTCATATTAGATTGGCTTGAGTTGAAGAAAGAATTTCAGCATTTGTCACATAGCCATACAATGTGTAGCCTATGTTTCACAATATCGTTCACACAAGTATCACATATAATCAGTATCACATATAATCCGAATAATTACTAAGTCTCTATCAATAATCAAACAGTATGAGCAGAGAGTTGTAACATTGTTTGTTTCCTAAATGGCACCCTATTCCATATATATAGTGCACTACTTTTGACCAGAGCTCTAATGGCCCTAAGGTGCCATTTGGGATGCAGTCATTGTGATCAGTACACGGTCCGTGTTAAGGAGGACAGTTAACCTGAACCCTGATCTCTGTGTGTTGAACCCTGATCCCCCCCCCCCCCCCCAAATTGTAAAGTGGTTATCCCACTGGCTATAGGGTGAACGCACCAATTTGTGAGTCGCTCTGGCTAAGAGCGTCTGCTAAATGACGTTAATGTGCCCTTGAGCAAGGCACTTAACCCTAATTGCTCCTGTAAGTCGCTCTGGATAAGAGCGTCTGCTAAATGACTAAAATGTAATGTAAATGTTGTTCCAGGCTCCTCTGGCAGGCAGCAACACCAAGACCCTGTGTTGCCTCTGGTGTGCCTCAGGTCCCATCTCAATGACTGTCTGCACTGAGAGGAAAGGCTTTGTCCCAGGTAAGTAAGCCTTGTCCAAGCCCGAATGGCCCAAAGGGCAGGAGCCTATCTCCTGTTTCTGTAGCGTTAGGCAGCTTGATGTACAAGTACTCAGGAAGCTAGTACTGGAACAATAAAAACACTTCCTTAGAGGGGCTCCAACCCTGAAACTGTTCATCTTTGACATTGCTGTATTTTACTAGCCCTCAACAATCCTGACCTTGTGAGCTCACATTCTACGTGCACGATGTGAAACGAAACAGGAATGCAGCAGTAAGTTCTTGTTCACAAGGCTAGTATTTTACAAGACCAGCAGACTTTGGTATGCACCCAGATTTGGTCTATGAAGTGGGTCTTTCTTTGTGAACAAGGGAATAATTGTGTCAGAATGTTAGCTAGAAATGCTGTGTGTGCGTGCCTGTGAGTTGAAGCGCATGACTGGTGAACAAAATGATAGCCTACTCATGTCTATTATTGGCAAATAAATGGAGACTCGATAGAAATTCCTGCTCACTAATCACTTGTCAAGTCTTCCAAGATAGTCGTGTTTACACACTCGTATAAACGGACATCTTCTCACCTTTGAATCCCCTTTTTTTTCTGTAGGAGAGATGGTGAAAATCATCTGTGAGCTTAGTAATGGCTCCTCTCGGACGGTGACTCCGCATGCGACCCTTATCCAGAAGCAGATGTTTTACACCCATAACAAGTGCAACAGGAGGTTGCAGATGAAAAACCTGGCCTCAGTGGATGGTCAGCCGGTCAACCCCAGTAGCTCTGAGGTCTACAGCGATATGATGCTTCCCATCCCTCCCAACACGGCTCTCACTATCACCAACTGTCCTATACTGGAGGTGGATTACACTGTGGATGTAGGTATCCATCTGGAAATTATGCAGCTTTTACTGCCAATCCCAAATCGACCCCTACCCCCTAAGCACTCCAGGAGATCTGGGCCCGCATTCACAAAGCGTCTCAGAGTAGGAGTGCTGATCTAGGATCAGGTCCCCCCCCCCGTCCATGTAATGTTATTCATGATATGAAACGCAAAACTGATCCTACATCAGTACTCCTACTCTAGAGACTCGTTGTGAATATGAGTCTGAGAGGTATAAGCACTATGGAAATCACCCCTACTTGCCCTCTCGATAGCCCAGGTGCAATTTTTGCCGTATTGCTTACATCTGTATAACCCTCTCAGATCTCATCAAAATCGTAAGGTTAAATAGGTGATTGGACTTGCCCAATGCTTATCCTTCTGTTCTGATGTTGTCTTCTCTTCCGGTTCTTCTCCTCTCCTGCAGGTGAGTCTACATATCAGAGGTTCCTCTGACCTCAAGGTGCTGTTCCCCATTGTGCTGTGTAATATTCCTGTTTATGCTCCCCAGCCTCCACCTCCATATCAGTAGGAGTAGCACTAGGATCAAGTTGCCCCTGACTCTAATCTAAGGTCAGTTCAGTGTTTTTATACCTAGTGGTTAAGGTTAGGAATTAGGCAGGATAAGCAGCTCTTAGATACGAAGGGCAACTTGTACCTAGTCATATTAGAGACATGCATAGTCTCTCACAACATCTGAACATAGGGAATATGAGGGTTACTATGAACAATTCTTCCGGTAAGCTGGTTTTTGCATCACTGATTATTTGGACAAATCACGATTTTGCCGGGTTGGTCTAAACCTGGCATCTATAGAATTTCGGAAGGGGAGGGGTTACTTTAGGCCCATAGACTGCTAAAAGGATTTCAGAGGAGGGCATGTGGACTTTGCCACTCACATTAGGCCAAACATCTCAACACGCCCCCCAGTACCATGTCCAGTAGCTGGCCATAGGCCCACGTTCACTCTAGATTTGGTTCTGGATTCCGAGATTAGACACTGCCAAACCCCTTTTAAGATGGGGTTTCCAATTCTACAATTTCTACATGTTTATCACCATAAGAATTGTTACAGCAAGTTTTGTCATCGACCACCATGTCAAATCCTTCCTTCATATATTGTCTCTTACCACTACCTATGGGAGTATTGTGCTGTTTCTGCTTACTATAGACATAACTGTTTCGAAAATTAAGAGTTTTTAAGACAGACATTTCAGAGCCTGTTTCCTCCCTAATTCACCTCCATCCGGGTCATGAGATGAGGAACTATTGGTCAATGTTATTGCTAAGGGGACTAACTCAATACTAAAGCTGATAAGGAAGAAGGCCTTGATAGCCAACTAAACTTGGCTCTAACAAAAATCATACAACACAACAAATTGTAGGATTTATGTTAAATGCCTCTTAAAAAGGTTGATTTGTAGATTTGCAATAGTTCTCAGGGTTGTACCTCATACGGTACCAGATTTTCTAATATTTTATGCATGAACTTTTAAAAGGTGTTTATGTTCCATGACTATTTCTGTTACATGTTTTTATAGTCATACAGTTTTATTTACAGTTTTATATATACATTTCATACTACTTACATACCAATGTATGTAATGATGCCTTGCCATCCTTCACTGTTTGAGGTGACAGACAGACAGTGCTTTAAATGTCTAATGCTGCAGTCGTCGTTCATCTCTTGCCAGGTCATGTTACTTAGCATTTCTTTCAAAGTGCTTGAGTGATTGTTAACATAAGATAATTGGGCTTTGTGACAGTGTTTACCCACGTTTGATCAATCACTCTGTGGTGTATGTCTGTCTGTCACCCAACTCTCTTTTTTATCATGGTTAACTTAAGGATTAGATTTGTTATTCATGGTCAATTTTTTTTTGCCCCATACATTTGGAAAAATGTCAGAGTATTCAGAATGCTTGTGATTCAATCACTAATTCATTTGTACGTCTGTTTTAGAATTACACTGTAATTCTACGTCACTGTTCTCTAGCTGTGGTCCGAATAACAAAACCATGTTTTTACACTCCTAGTTGGATGAGAGTAATCCAACAGAAAGTCTGAAACATTACATTTATATGGTTGAGCTTACTATATGAATAACCACTCAAATTCACGCACAATAATATTTTTTTCATATGAATTGTATTTGATGTGTTCGTGTAAACTATATATTGTATTTATGTTAAAATGTTATAACATTTGTTTTTATGTCTGTTTTAACACTCCCAAGTTCATCCATTGAGGACATCTACTCATGAGGACATCTACTCATTTTAAACTATCAAACTCCCTTGAAGAGTTCAGTACTGCCGTTAAAAGATGTTTTGAAGATGTATTGGTGGTAAATGCATTATGTTGTATTGAACGTGAAAAAAAACACATTTGATTTCAAATGTCAAAACTGGACTTGTTCGTGACGTAGTCCTTGCCATTGAGTTCCCTTGAACCTTCTTAATGAAGACAGGGAAGTACACATCTCTAGACTCTGTGTATTGCCAAAAACGTATCATTGTCATATCACAATAAGGGCAGAATTTGAGCCCTAGAAACATGGACAGTATTCAGAGAATTTTTTTTGGGAATTGTCTGTATACATATACATGTTTCAACCACAATGCCTTTTCACAATGTACTGTATATTTTGTTATGTTTGTCAAACTGAGTATCAAGGTAGCACTTTAGGAAAGACCACTGATAATTTCTAAGTAGGTCTTTACAGACTGGCCACCTGTAGGTGAACGCCAGGACAGAATTAAACATTTTAGTACTGTTTGAAGGATTCTACTTATATGCCATGAATGTTATTGACCTGTAACAAACACATGAACTTCCATTTAAAAACAACAACATTTGAACATGATTGCTTGTGTCCCAATGTCCATCAGTGTTTGTGACAATACTATACCTACAGTGTACAGCAACAAAATGTTGGTTAAATATGTTTCATATTTTATACATCTGCATTTGTTCTGAGGATAAACACTATGAATTTCCTGTCCTTATTTCAAAGATGAAGGTGCATTAATTTTGTATACCTACCGGGGGCAGTATGGGTCAGGGTGTTTTCACATGCACTGAGTGTACAAAATATTGAGTTGCATCCCCTTTTGCCCTCAGAACAGCCTCAATTCGTCCGGGGCATGGACTGTACAAGGTGTCAAGCATTCCAAAGGGATGCTGGCCCATGTTGACTCCAATGCTTCCCACAGTTGTGTCAAGTTGGCTGGATGTCCTTTGGGTGGTGGACCATTCTTGATACACACGGGAAACGGTTGAGCGTGGAAAAACCCCAGCAGATTGCCGTTCTTGACACACTTAAACCGGTGCGCCTGGCACCTACTATCATACCCCATTCAAAGGCACTTAAATATTTTGTCTTGCCCATTCACCCTCTGAATGGCACACATACACAATCCATGTCTCAATTGTCCCAAGGCTTAAAAATCCTTCTTTAACATGTCTTCTCCCATTCATCTACACTCATTGAAGTGGATTTAACAGGTGACATCAATAAGGGATCATAGCTTTCAACTAGATTCACCTGGTCAGTCTGTCATGGAAACTGCAGGTGTTCCTAATGTTTTAGTGTATAGTCCTCTTTAAAATAACCAATCTCAGTCTTCTTTAAAGTGAACTCTGAGAAAAAAAGGAAAAAAAACTGTTCTCTTTGTATTCACACTGCCTTTGAATGAGGACCAGTTCACTTCACCTATTTTGTGGTCCTCTTTGCATTCACATTGCTATGTTTAGAAAGGAACCAAGATCTTTTTCCAAAATTCACTCAATGCACTCTGGGTTTTTCCAAAGAGCAGGACAAGCCATTCCATCAGAATGTGTTATCGGACAGCTAGATAGACCTACTTACATTTTGGAAGCTAATATATTGCATTTAGTTAAAAGATTAGGCATAATAATTGTAATCAAAAGATACTATTAACATGTTAATATTATTGGTAACAGAATAAATAGCAGAAGAATAACTGCAGAATAATTAATGCTGTAATTGAAAATTATACACCCAATGTAGGCTACTGCCCCTTTAAGAGCTACAATTGATTTTGTATCCTATGTTGTGATTCTCACGAAATAAGTTGTCTTCTTACGCTATTCAAACCCCACAATCGAATAAACAGTTTATGAACCTCTCTAATTTATAGATCACATATTGCAAACAAATAATCTGAACTAAAAACTCCACATATATTTTTGAATTTCTGTGCATCCTTGACAATCGCTAATCAATATCCAAAAACAGCACACGTTTTTTCCGCGGACCTGCACATCAACTTCTCTCTTTTTGTTGTGGCACCAATGTGAGGGGTTATGGCAGGGGAAATGGTGTTGCAGTAGTCTAGTGCAGGGTTTCCCAAACTGGTAAATGGATGGTAGTGTATTGTATTTATTGAGGTAACGAGGTTTCATTGATTCAATAACTCCATTGCTTCAACCTTCCTTAATTGATGGTAGTGCCTAAATGTAGTGCCTTATGAATATATGCGACAAAAATACTATATCAAATAGTGGTAGTACAAATAGTATTTGTACAATGTGCCTATATAGTGCATTGAAAAAGCCAATTGTGTAAGCAGCATTAGGCTTTTCCCTTGTACTATGATAGGTCTATTATGAAGTATTAAAACCCCATAAAAGTATTGGTAACACTTTTTATTTGGATAGTCCCAAGTAGATGGTTTGTAGATGTTCTAACTATCCACTAGCCCTAAACCTTACCTTACCCTTAGCAAGCAGTTGCTTATCAACAGATAGTTTGTTGATAGTCCAATATAGACAAACTAAATAAAGTGTGACCTAAGTATTCTCCCAAAATAAAATGGCCTATAAATGAGATTGCTAATTTCTCAAGGCCATAAGGATTTCAATCTCTGTCCTTGGTCAAGTGTGTGTATTCATTTGGGTCCTACAGTATAAAGCCTACTCTTGAAATATTCAAAGGACATTTCATGGAGAATTTCCATGGCTCATCTTATCTGTAGCATCAGGTTGCAGGTACAGGTAGTAACCTCTTCCTTCTGCATATTACAACCAGTAGGTCTATCCTGAGCCCATACAGTGGTTTCCAATCCATTTAATTGTGGAGTGGAGGTATGTTTTATCACAGCTAGATTATAAATCACGAGTGAGAGATCATCAGGCTAATAGTCTCGGTCTTGTGACCAGATGTAATAGATCACTCAGGTGTGACTCAGGTCAGGTGTCTCTTTTCTCAGTGCGTATCAGGTGACCGTTCACCTTGGCAACTTAACTGGTTAAACCACATCCTCATCCCCACATGACTTATGACTATAGTCTATGTACAGTAGGATTAGGTGTGTTATTCCTCTCATAGAGCAAGCATTACACCAGGTAGCATATACAGTAGCCTATAAGAGCATCAGGTATACAGAGTAGCCTACAATTATGCATTGGCTTGGCAGCAAAGTCTCGTCGTGCGTCAATAATGTTATCCAGAGTTGTCAGTGACATACGAGGCAATACATGAGTCTAATACTTTTTTTGAATGGAGATGTCATATCGGGAAAGGTCTATTAGGAGATGTCGAAATACAGTCTTTATTGATGAAAGCCGAGGGTAAAGCGTGTGTGTGTGTGTGAACATTATTGAAACTGGACGGCATGAGTAGCCTACCCCTTTTCTTTTCAGATTCTTAAAAAGTAAGTTCTATTCACTCACTATAATACACTTTGGATGACAGTTAAATTATATTACAATATCCCTTCTATTGAAAAAAAGTAAACATTTCTCCATATAGCC